ATACATAATATCAATAATACATAATACAATTTTAGTCCTTAACGGCTTTAAAGTTTCTTGTTAAAATGAAACCAAAATTTTGGTTATTTGGTTTTATATATACAAAAAAATAATATTAAATATTTACTCAAAATTTAAATACAAACTTTCAGCAATATTCGTTACTTCAATCTTTGCTACTATAACGTCATGAAGACAATAATATCATTTTTAATGCAGTATATATTTAACTAATTATTTTTCCACTATCTATATCTATATATTAACTATTGTATTATATTTGGTATTCAAATATATATCTATATATTATATATTGTAATAATATGTTTTTAAAATTTTTACAAATCTAATCATCATCCATCATTTAATCAAAATTAAGAAAATGTTTTTAGATAAAGTCTGAGCGTTAGAAAAATCTATTGACTTCAAATATTCCTCACATTATAAACTGGAATTATATTATACAAGTTTTAGAGTTTTAATGTTTTTCTATATTTTTCACAGTATTTTTAGCCCACTAAAGTCTCTTCACATGCGCATCAGCAGCTGCTTCTCTCTCAACTCTGTTGGCAATCCCATGAGCATATGCAAAAATGAGTGTATAAATCGGAAATGGATGCTCACACTCTATAAGTAGAATCCACCCCGATCGAGTAAACAGGCGCGACCCAGACAACAATTGGCGAACGGTAAAAACTGTCAAAGGCAATTATCGCACTCTTTGTTCGCCTAGGCACAACAAACTGACAGACAGACAATCAGACGAGCGAACGAACGGACGGATGGATGGACGGACTGCCACAGTGATTGATCATTTGATGAGGTCTTTGATTCGCAGTTATCTCTGATAATGGTCTGGGGCTTACAGCTCGTACATCAATTTCAATTTCGAGTGGGCTGAGCGTGCGAGCGAGCCTCTAAATGAACGTGGGAGTTTCTAGTTTGCACCTTTCAATAAAACTGGCTTGGGCTCGTGATCGGACTGGGGCCAGACACCGAGCTCTGCTTACCTTTGCCATGCGAAGCACGTGCCGTCGACTCGAGGCGCTGCCTAGCATGTAAATCTGTATATGCCACTTGCAACTGCAACAGCAGCAGCCGCCTGCATAACCAACGTCGCGTTGCAGCAGCAGCAGCAGCAGCAGCAGCTGGAGCTGCAACTACAACTACAACTGCAACTGCAACTGTGGCTGCGGCTGCGGCTGGCGGCTTGCCGCAGTCTTTGCCACTTCCTTTTCGTGGTCTGTTTGAGAATTTAACCCGTGCCGTCTACGTGCTCATGGCATTCAGAGCTAAATTAATTGTTGTTGTTATTGTTATTGTTATTATTATTATTTAGTGGCTGCGTACCACCTGTTGTTGGGCAGCCAGACCTTCAGTGAGCACATTAATT